AGGATGAAAAAAGTAGACAAGGACGGGAGCTAGCCACGAGTAATATTTCCTTGGGCACCCAAATCGCGCTATTGCTTGATGCTCACTTGAAGTTTCGAAAAGAATAATAATAATACCACTTGCGAAAGCTGCAGGAGGGGAAATATTCTCAAATTCAGGCAGTAAAAGCAAGGTTGGGCGATAGTAATTTACAGTGCTGTGGAACACATTCGCGGACCTCCTGTTGTGGGCCAAGGCGACAAGGTGAGGTCTTAGAAGCGAGGTCTGACAACATACCGATTGTTGCGAGGCGCCACAAGGTGCAATTAGGTTACCCAGAGTGTAGCAGATTTCCGAGAGACAAAAACAAACCAGTCCCGAAAGGCTAAAGGAATATAAGTAGTTTTGCTGCCTAGATGGAAAGACGTGAGCTAACAGGTCGTCCGTCGGACTCGAAGAGGGTCTTAACCACTCCAGGGGGGAGGAGTGATTATGGTTAAGAAGGTTCATGTAATAGTAGCCCGACAGCATCACAGCAAACTCGTTAGGCTGCAGAAGTTTAGCTTGGACGCAATTGCTGTCTAGGTTTTCACCAGCGTCTTCTCGTGTGTCGCAGACCTGCTTGCTTATCAACCCAAGTGACGCAACCTTTCATGTACCTAAATATAGCCCTATTGGGTCTTTTGGGAAGGTAACGTTTGGAAGGTGTCTCAGTTCAGAGGACAAACGCACTTCGCTCGTTCGCCCATCTCCAAGACGCCGTAATAGCCGAAAGCATGCCAGCGTTGTTGTAGTGGCACAGAAGTAGCACTACTAAGGCAAGTCGATAATAGATTAAAGCAGGTGTAATGGCTGACTTGTCAGCGTGTCTAAATGACTCCGTTCATCTCTAATACACCAATACCGCCTATTTTTTGGAAATCAATTTGTTAGCATACGAAACCGGTTGAAAGAGCTCTGAGCAGTTGTAGTAGCAGAGCCGGGTATAAAGGAATAAGCAGCCGGATTTGCATAGGCATCGGAAGTGGTAAACACTAATTAATAAGCTGCCGCATAGCAGGAGAAAACACAAACATCCCAATCGCTAAACACATTTGGATAATAGTTCCGAGTTAAGGTCAAAAGCAGGAGTACAAATAATTAAATGTTAAGTAAACTCCTTTGACATAATAATCACACATGCAAAACAGGGAAAGCAAAAAATGAAGAGCACTTACGTTGATGCGCCAGGCGGTTGTGTCTCTGAAGATCCTTCTTCCATTTGTAGGCTTTGTTACAGAGATTGCAAACAAAGGATCGATAATCTGACAGAGTGAGAAGATGAAACATGAAATAACCCAAGCGCTACTGACAGTGACATGCAACAGAGCGAACTACTTACCGGAGGGGGTGGCAGCTGTGTCCGTCACCGAGAGAATTAGATTTTTGGTCCCAAGTTCGCCTTGTGAGGGGTGTTTTGGCCGCCACAACTGATCTCCGGCTTTGCATACGATTTGTGAGTCTAAGACTAATGGAGGAAATGGGACGGAATATCATATGTGACAATTTCGGCAGACAGCGCACTGGGGCGGGGGGAGGAGGCAACTTACCTTGAACCTCGGGCTTCATCTGAAGAAGGCCAACAGAAGAGTCCACTGTTTGGAGTTTTTGAGCAGGTTGATTCAAAATACCCATGAAATTCATTTGCCCTGCAAACTTCAAAGGTGCAAAAATAAATTCTGAAGGCTGCATGAGAATGTATTGAAGTTGGGGCCACGCCAGAGAAAGTTTTCGGTTGATTCAATCGGCGTTTTTACCTCTTGCGTAGAAATCCTGGTTGAGTAACGGTCAAACCCGTGTTAACACAACGTTTTCTAATACTAAACTATAATGGCACGCAATGAGACAATTAAAACACAGTATCCAACTTACATACAAAAGTAAACTTCTAATGCGATCGAAATGAGTTAACTTGGCAACGTCATACAATTCTCAAACATTGCTTTCAAGTTTCGAGACACAAGCCAAACCTAATTCACAGGCATAATCTCGTTTGAATTATTATTTTTTGTTTTTCCAACTCTACGAAGAAAAAACCACCAACTTCAAACATTATAGTTAACCTGGCATTTTATAAAGCTGAACAGAAGGGGGCGGTTTAGAGAAATGGACTCTGACGTCTACCGAATCCTTGCTTAACTCAAGAACCAATGTCACGCGAAATATGTAGTATCACAGCCTCGAATGAGCTTACGAAGTGTTATTCTAAATACGGAAAAGCTAAATTAAGCATAACTACATAAATTGAAGTCTACGAAAATATTGCAATCTGAGACTGCCGTAAAACGAAAAAGTTTTGAGAAAACTTAGGGGCAAATGCAAGCACAGTTAGCTAGAGGAATAACATGAGCTAGTAATAGTTCCAAAAGGCCTGAAGGACTTTCCCCCAACATGACTCTCCCTGGCCAGTTTCCTACTTAATGAACACCACGACCAATAACGAAGGTTTTTTTCGGGTTTAATAACCAGGTTGACTCTCACACAGGAAAGGTTATATAGTGCCTACTTGTATTCAACCCAAAGAAGGGGAAGACCTTGAAGTGCTGTAGGGTGAAAGAAATATGGCATCCATGTTACTGGGTGCGAAGGAGGCGAAATCTGGGAGAATGACGTAAATGTCTTGCCGCACAAGAGTTGTGACTATACACAGACTATAGGGAAAAAGGTACTCTTGGTCAGGCTTTATACAAGGCGTGAGCGTAGAATAAAAAAATCCCCATCGCATTAGATTGCCAGAATTCGAGCAGCAAATGATGACTGAAATATAATATCGAAAGAAATACACCGGGTTAGTGAATGGAGGGTCCTAGAGGATGCATCCTCCTTGACAGACTAACTTACTGAGGGTGTGCGTTTAAATAAGAAATTTAATGAATAGAAGCGAA